ATTTATGGTGAGCCGGAATCGCCAAATAAGGGGGCGTGTTTCTGTCATATGATGAAAAATGAGGCGGCGTGTTCAAGATATATGATGAACAGGAATTGCCAAATAAGGGGGCGTGTTTAAGATATATGATGAGCCGGAATCGCCAAATGAGGGGGTGTGTTTATGATATATGATCGACCGGAATCGCCAATGAGGGGGCCTGTTGAAGATATATGATGAACCGGAATCGCCAAATTAGTGGGCGTGTTTAAGATATATGATGAACCGGAATCGCCACATGATGGGGTGTGTTTAAGATATATGATCAGCCGGAGTCGCCAATGAGGGGGCCTGTTGAAGATATATGATGAACCGGAATCGCCAAATAAGGGGGCGTGTTTAAGATAATATGATGAACCGGAATCGCCAAATGAGGGGGTGTGTTTAAGAGATATGGTCAACCGGAATCGCCAATGCGGGCGCGCGTTGAAGGTATATGATGAACCGGAATCGCCAAATTAGTGGGCGTGTTTAAGATATATGATGAACTGGAATCGCCAAATGAGGGGGTGTGTTTAGGATATAGGATGAATCCGAGAGGTTTGAAGCTTACAGGCTCAGCCCAAAAGTTGAATCCGGTGACCAAGTGACCCCGAAATTTGGTTTCTAAGTGGACCCAAAACAGTGCGGACTCGGAGAAGCTAAGTGACTTCGGTTTTGGTGGTTGCAGTAAATGATCCCGGCACAGGAAATAGTGGCTTTTGCTATGAAAATCTGAAAAAATATTTGTTTTCCTACGAAAACATAGCGAAAATAAGGTTTTCCTATGGAAATACAGAAACCCCCACCACCACCACCACCAAAAAAACATCCATCTTTTGACATGGCAATCTCGAGATGGAGTCTGTGACTTTTTGCTTAAGAGGTCATTGGGCTTGTCAGAAGTTCGAGTCAGCGATCCTCTTCTGTTTTCATTCTGTTCAACTTGTGACACACACACACAGATACACGTCTACCCTGAATGCTGGCGACGGGTTGCATCGAGTGCTAAGACGGAGGATCCTCAGAAGGTGTTGTTGGCGACGAGAAGGCGTTAAGTGTGACAGAAACGATTGCCGACTGCAAGGCCGTGTCCGACATTGGCATCATCGGCCGGTACCTCAAAATCATAAAATCCCGCTCCCGCACCCGGCACTCTCCAGCTGCCAGGCTGCCCGGCTGCCCCAACTCACAAGCGTTTTTGCTCCCCGCCTTTCTCAGGCAGCGGAGTGATGGGCTCGAACTTGGGCCTGAACATCGCTGATAAATTCCACGATGGCCAGCCCTTTCAGGCCAGGTGTGTTGCCAAACAGGGCGCAAGCAGCCTGATGTTTGCCGCTCGATAAAATCGGAGTAGTTTAACTCTGAGCTGTCTCAAATCATGCTAAGCTCTGGTACGGATGGCGAGGAATTGGAGCGCAAGGAACTGCAACTTCAACAGCACAGAGACTGCCAAGTTAGATTGCAGCAAGGTGTCACTGTACGACCTCAGCCAGGAGCAGGTGCAGTCAGTGGCTTGGAGGAAGTTGAGGCTCACACGCGTGCCTTTAAGCACTCGCTACAGCTCATAACCAAAGCAAGCAAGAACGGAGCCAAGCAATAGTTTGAGTCCTTTCGCCGTTCGCTTCCTAGTCACGAGCGCGAGGAAGGCGATGGCAGCACAGCAAGGCCCCACAGAAATATCAACTGCTTGCCCATCCCGTGCTAAGACAGTGAACTGCTATGTAGCTCTTCAGCTAGTGGTAATACTGAGAGCAACTACTGTAACAAAAGTTGAAGGCCGGAACCTTGCCTGGCCTGAGGTACTGGCCGCGAATGCAGCATACAAGAACCTGCACGGCTTCGGTGGGAAGCACAAGCTCAAGGACCTTTGGTTTGCATGCAGATCGCACGAATCGTGCTGGCAGCGTGCTTTGGGATTTGTCTCGACAGGTTGGAACTTGAAGCCTGCATGGTCGGATGTGTCTGCGCTCTGTGAGATGCACTGGGCACCATCCAGGCTCAAGTGAGTCAAGCACGCGAGTAGCATCCGTGTACATTAGTGATACGTCATCCCAGCGGAAGAGCTCGGATGGTCTCGGCCGCAGGCTCAATCTGGTTTCCTTCTGGTGCGATAAAATTCGTAGCACGGCTTGCTGCTACTTGGCATCCTCTCCCAATAAGTGTTTGTTTTGGGCATCCGAGATGATCTGTCGTTTGGCCCTGGTGCTGGCGGCTGCACAAGCAGCGGACACGCAGGCAGGGCAATCGGAAGTTCTTGTGTTCGAGCTTGACCGCCCCGCTGTCCATTTGTGAACTGCACTAGTGGATCTTGGACCATCTAGCGGCAATCCCGGAATGCAGGTTTCTCAGCCTGCGTGCGGAGCCTTACTCTGTGTGATTCTGTGCGGACTTGCTGCTACAAACCAAAGTCACGAGCGAGAAGTGCCAGCAGGGTGTGTTTTTGAATCCACTTGCATCAGCTAATCCGATTTCGGAACGCAGCCACCTAGTATCCATACCTAGAAAGGTAATCTTGCCTTAAGGCTGCGGGATCGTTCAAAGGTAGCTGTGCAGCTGTATGGCTGTGGTAAGCGAGGCCTCAGTCAGATGGGAAAGAGACCTTACAAGGCGGGCCTTCGAGCACTGCGGGCTCATGGTACTCATGTATTGCAGTCAGGCGCTGTCGACTCGGCCAAGTCAACGCTGCAAAGGCCGGACCTGGAAAGGAGTGGAGTCTCCTCGCCACGTGCAGCGTCACCCAGCAGGATCCAGCAGGCAATGAAACAAGAGAGAAGCATTTGATTCAGAGTTTGAGTATCGCCCAGAAAGTCATGCCCATGAGAAGTGAGACAGGCTATTGGCCACATCTCAGGTCAAGCTATAAATTTCAATATGCACCTCGCTTCGAGAAGCCTGACAGGCCTGAAAATCCGGTATGGATACCCAGGCTGCAAAGCGGGAAAAAACTGTCCTGGTAATCTTGGTTGCAATACGCGAGGGGGCCGAACAGTCCGCGAGCAGTCGTGCGCCCCAGGGGTCTCGACCCCATGCCCCAAGCAAGCCAGCAACACAAGCATAGCAGCCCTCGTCTGGACCTGCAGAAGCAAAGAAGAAAACATGTTTTGAATGTATCAACATACGAGGTCGCGCTGCATGGCACGATGACTGCATAGACTGTATGCACCACCGTGGATTCCTTGTTGATTTACGAAGATGTGCAGTTACTCCTTCGCCATGCATAAGTTTCATGATTCGTACATAATCGAATGTACACTCCGCGTGTTTCTGGCGATATGGAAAGAGCATTGCAAAGGCTTGCAGATGCTTGCAGCATGTCAGGATCTCATCATTGGGAAACTCTGTGGAAAGCAGCATGCACCAATCAGTCCAGGAGGCGGACGGACCCTTAGCACGAGTTCCAAGAACTACGCAGTTCATTTGTGCTTCACATACTGCGCGGGCTCAGGAGAAGCAGGCTCGTCAGCGTGCAGAAGCTGACCTGGGCATCAGAAACGAGCAGCTCTCGGAGCATTTCGTGTCGATGCAGAAGGCATGCGGTATTTTGCGGTCCCAGTGCGTTGACATGACTCAGCAAGACTCTATCTTGACGTGTTGCGGCGAAGGAAGCAGCTTCTGATGTGGAGAAGTCGCAGCTAGATTCCGCGAGGCAGGTGCTCAAAAACATGGAGGTCGGAAGCCAAGACTGCCACATGCCTGCTGCTTTATCGCCTTAGCGCATAAGGGTGCAAGTCCGCTGCAACCCAAGATCGGCTAAGTGTACCAGCACTCTCCTCTCGTTCCCCAATCCTGAGCTGCCATTCTGGTCACTACTGTAGCCAGACTTCGTTGCCTGAGGCGACAGATGCGAAGCTTCGTGAACTCGAAAGCCATACTTCCAAACTGCTCAATGATGCATCCAGACATATAGAGGTGGGGCCTGCAAGTCCTTGAGAAGCTTGCCAGCATCGACATCAACACATCAACTCATTGTGCTTCAGCTGCTTTGCTGTGACAGATGGGGTGTTGAGACGTAGCCTTGCATGGGAGCCTTCGGTCTGCAGCTGCAGGCAACGAGAACAGCCTTTCTGCACCTTACCCACGCCCGAAATCATGCAGCTTTGTGCTGGAGAGGATTCCGGACGTGATGCTGCGAGGAAGGCCCGTGATCAAGCCAGGTTCTGAGCAGCAAGTGCAGATGCTGCACCAGCTCACCCCACACGGTTCATCTTTACCACCAAGCTGCTGCGGCTGCAGCGACTGTTGCTACTTCTCCCACTACTCCTCCTCCTCCTAATACTTCTACAACCTACTACATCTACTATTCCGTCACTCCTCCTGCTGTTAGTGCTATTACTCGTACCACCTACCACTTGCATCCACTTACCACGTGCTACCTACTGTCTACTGCCTACTATCATCATCATCATCATTTACCATTACCACTACTACTACTACTACTACTACTACTACTGCTGCTACTACTACTACTACTACTACTACTCTTGCTGCTACTGCTACTCACTACCATTACTC